CAATGGTGTAGGAGAAATGGGTACTTTCTGAATGATGAAATATGTGCATTAGAGGCTTCAAGTGTACAGAGTCAACCAAATACAGAAAAATAGTTGATAAAGGTCTCCATGAACCAAAGCAACCAGCAACAAGTTGAATCAACACATTTCAAAATTCGATTTGAATTGAAAAAGAAACAAATATCAGACAAAGAGAGAAGTACAAGACTGTTTACTGAACAGTTTTAAAGAAAGATCTGAAACATACTAATTCTGATTGGTACCACAGCTGTATCACTCTGCAGCCCAAGACAGGTTACTCACTGAAACCAGGCAGGGCTGAGCCTGGTCAGTACCTGGATGGGAGATCACGATGGAAAACTAGGTTACTGTTGAAAGTGGTGTTAGTGAGGCCAGCAGGGGGTGCTCAACCTGCATTCTATGTGAGTCCTAATGCCCCAGTAAAGTGAAGGGTACACTATACTGTCAGTAAGCGCTGTCTTTTGGATGAGGTGTTAAACTGAGATCATGGTCAGTAAAAATCCCATGGAACTTCTTGTAAAGAGTGTCCTGGCCAAGTTACTTCTATCAGCCTTTACCTATGATGGCCTCCCAATTATCCCCATCCACTGAATTGGCTCTATCACTGTCTCTCCACTCTAGCTATAGCATTGCTGCGCATTTTCTTGTGGCTGCCATCGCATTATTCAAGTGGATGCTGCACACTGGTGGTGGTGTGGAGAGACCACCCTCATGATTGTGAAGCGCTTTTGGTGTATGGCCATACACAATAAATGCACTATATAAGTTCACATTACATTACAATTCTAACTTTCAACTAGCGTCCTATTAGCTGCCTATTATTAAGATATTGAGTGTTTATTTTCACTTGTTAATAGCAAGAACTAAACTGTACCTTGAAATAAAGTGTTGGCTACTCAAGATAACTACTATGCCATAATGCACTGCGAATGTCAATCAAATAAAACTGGCAAAGAAATATAAAACTGTTCATTAAAGTCATATTGAAGCAGAATATTTCAAGTTTGTTGTGAAATATGCCTATACAGTATATACACAAAGATTGGAAATCATTTGGAAATCATCAGCTGTATTACATTATTTGTGGTGATTTAAGGCTGTGCAGAGTTAAAGATCTCTACGATTGGTGGAGTTTCAATTTTAAATTTTTCAATATTATTTTAAAGGTAAATTAAGGTTTAACAGATTATAATTACAGATTATAGTTAATCCAGAAATCAATGGATTAACAATCTTGGCACTTCTAGAAAAACAGTACTATTGTTCACAGTGTAGCTGACGCTGATCAGTCAGCTTGTATTTTTGCTTATTCTTTTGTATTTCATTATGTGAATGTGTATTGGTGTATGTTTATGTCACAAATTTCTTTGTTTCCGGTTAGCTTGGGTGGGAGGTCACATGATTCTTGTTGATTGATTTAACCTGCGAGAGTTTGTATGGTCACTCAGCATAGTGAGATCTCAATGCAAGCCCCTGTTAAATGCTTCTGCTTATTCTACAGCTGGTTTTCAGGCCAATGCGGTAAACTAAAGATTGTTTTGTTTATTATTTGTTTATTTTGATGTCCTTTTGATTGTTTGTGTGAAACATTTGATTTGTTTATTTGTTTATCCTTTAGTTTTCACGGTGTTCAATAAACTAAAAGCATGAACATCGGTATTTGGGAAGCGTAGACTGTTTAAATAACCAGCGGGTAGTTACACACGGAACACAGCTTTTTTACAGGTTTATACTGTTGCCAGTAAATAGAAGTTAGTCATTTCATTGGTATAAAATATCGGATGCTTGAGAATGGCTATTGGTCGATCTCATGTGGGTGATGGGTTGTCCCTCATCTCTCCAGTAAACATCATTAGAGAAGAGATGTCTTTGCAAAAGGTAGAGGAAGTTAATTTGATTACAGATTATGAGAGTGTATGATTTTTTTAAATAATGATGTGCACTTATAAATGATTTATAAGAAACACGGCAACGCTAAAAAAAAAAACAGAATTGTCAATTTGGTTTCATGGTGTCTTAAGGCATGCTGTTATTACAGTAAGTGCCACAGCTGGGCTGCTGATTAAAGATTAATGTCACATAAATATCACACACAAGTTCACCCCAAAACTGCCATTTTTGTTTATGTCTGCCCCTAAAATGAAGGACAAAATATTGTGCCTAAAGTAAGTCAGATGTTCAGAAGCCCTGAAGTCTAACAGATAAAGGCCGATCTTCCAGATGGGCCCTTCCTAGACCAGCTGCCAGTCCATATTTACATGATTATCCAGCATTTCTCACTGCCCTCAGTCACTCTGCTCCAAAATCCACAATGGCAGAATGCAATCCCAGAATGGATTACAACAAATTCAATGGGAAAATAATAAAATCAAGATGGTGGACAAGGTGATAGAAACGATCAAAATCAAAATCATGATTAAAATCAGTAATACTGTACATTTCGTTCAACAAATTGTTGTCAACTGGCATCAGTTAAATATTATTGAAAAAATAATTATCTTCTCCTCATAAATTGAAATGGAAGATTAAAACTCTACCAATAGGGTCTGTCAATTTTGATCCAATTGTTTGACCATCGGCACCATGTGCAGCTAATTAGTGGCATTGGCAGAGGGTTCAGTTTTTGCTTCTTTTTTTGCTCTGTTTAAGCAATTTGGAGGTCATGTTTACTCAAAATATTAGTTTCCTTAGAAGTGTTCAGATTTATAGTTCACAGGTAAAGTAAACGGGCTGTATTCAAGTTTAAATCAAAAACGTATGGGAGAGAGAAACAAACACGGCATATTAACCCACTCAACTAGAAGTCCTGAAAAAAAGAATTAATGTGAAAAGCACTAATAAACTTGAATTGAATTGAATTGAATCAGTGATTCCATATATGGAAACTTTAAATTCCGGGGAAACTTTCCATTTCACAAAAGATTCTTTATAGTAGAAAAAAGCCCTAAAAGGGATCAGGCAGACCAAACTGTAAGTCGTAGAGACTTGAAACTTTGCCAGATCCACCCCATATGCAACATCACCAAGACTCGCCCAAAAAGGTCTCATGTTGATGCTGCAGTGGTCCAAAATATGTGATTGCTCATAACCCCACAAATACTGGCCACAGACTCAAGTGCCTTACATCACTGGAATGCATATTGAATATTGAATGTTAATGTAATGAATATTAAAAGTTATTTTAAAAGTAGATTTTCCATTCAGCTTTACCATAGAATGGTCAAACATCTAAAGTGGGCGGGATAATTTTTATAGAAATCATATGTATGAGCTAGATCTGAGGTCACTGTATCACCACCATGTGGTCAAACCAGCCTGCTCTCACGAGGAAATGTAACTATTTTATGTTTGTCAGTTTATTAGCAAATTCGTACAAGTTCAGTCGTACGAAAATTACGATTTTAAACAGGAGGTGCGGCAGCCAACTCAACCCCTAAACCCAACCTTGGGGATAAGTAAATCATACTAAATTGTATGAATGAGAATGTACGAATTCATTTGAAATAGCCACTAAATAAAAATGTACGAATTGCTGTGAGATAGCGTTGGTTAAACTGCTATTTTTTTACAATGCGAAAAAAATTATAAAAAAGTGAATGAATGAACTGAGGGACTGCTGGCCCAATTGACTCAAAAATCCCAATGCAGTGTGGCAAAACTGGTTAGGTGGCACCTAGGCCACCACAAGTGATACTGCATTTTACATGCGTATATGCGACAGTATTTTGTACAATTTTTCATACCTTAGCAAGAACTCTGATGTTTCGTAAATCAGGGAGTGCATATAACACAGTAATACACTTGAAAGCATGAAAATGTTAACAACCGATTAGTCACACTACAGCTGGTAAAAAGTTGAATAATGCTGTTTTTCTATAGAAACTAAACACTTTGAACTAGTCAAAGATTTACTGTACTAAAGGATAAATACTACATTTTCACCAAAAAAAAAAAAAAAAAAAGAAATCACTGCTTGAACCCTGATAATTGCTGCTTGCAGCTATATTTAAAAAAAAAAATGTTTCTTTTAAGGACTGCTAACTGAAAGGTTTTATAGGGAACCCACATTGATTCTTCTGTTGCGACACTGAAAAGGTCCTTTTAGAATGTTTTTTTTTTTAAGAGTGAATACTGAAACTTATTATATTACAACAATCAGGAAGATCATTTATTCTAGTGAGGAGAGTAAAGTTTTAGTCAAACTCTGAGAAACTCTGCTTTGCCAACGGCAGTTCACAATTCAGCTGAAACCCAGATAAGAAATTATCCATAAGCCCCAGCTTGAGGAGAATAGATACTCACCAAGGGAACAGTTTTGAATAATAACATGAATTTATGCTAAATAAGTTGAAGTCTTTCATTTCTGTACATGCTGAAATGTATGTTTAATATTTATCTGGTTATGAAAATGAGTGTGGCGCACAGACAGGAATTGCACAGGACTAGATATTCTCTGAAGTATTCATCCTTTCTTTTTTTTTTAATCAAGGATATTTTTGTAGTGGTGCTGAAATATTTTGGGCCTTTTTGCGCCAATAAGGTTAAATAGCTGGGACAGGTCGGATTTTAATGAGCCCTTTTACATAAAGGTTGGCCTGAACCACATTTCCTTTAGCCTGCTGTGAATATACTCCACAGGAGATTTTTGTGCCTTAGGAGGTTTTGTCTTAAATGATAAATGATTCACTAAAGCCGACCTTCAGTTTGTATCAGATACAACCACAGTTAATGGCTCCTAGATTCTGCAAAATTCTTATTTGTCGATGCATGTGAAGATATAAACTGTGGCTATTGTGTTTTTATAAGTGTTGTATACTTTACCTCTTCCACAATTTCTTTAGGAATTTGTCATGGAGGAAAATCTACTGAGAATAGACAACACATTTGAAAATAGTTTTGGTTGTAGACATATGTGCTATCAATCTCAACTACTGCCCAAACAAACTGACCTAAGAGTCCACTTTCTTGTCCATTTACAGCAAAACTGGCACAGCGCTGTTGCCAAAAATTGTCCTGTTCTTCCTCAGCTGAAGGTGAACGAACATAACCTAGAAACCATGTCCTCAAACTCACAGTGTTAACTCCAGTGATCAGATAAGATTTTATTGATTCCATCAAGCACTCTGTCTTCCATTAAATTTTAATTCCACCATCATTTAATCATAGCCTAACGTATTAATATCTCCTAAGAAGAACATAGTGTGTTGTGACTGTTTTGTTCATTTTTAATTTGAGTGAGTAAAAATACTCTTGTTAAATTCAATCAATGCATTAATATCAGTGTCAAAACATATTGCAAAACTATAGTATTTTCTCCATATAACTTCGAGACTGAATTTGATTTACATCTATACCAGGGGTGTCTAATATAGGTCCTGGAGGGCCGGTGTCTTGCATAGTTTAGCTCCAACTTCCTTCAACACACTTGCCTGGAAGTTTTATTATGCCTAGAAAGAGCCTGATTAGCTGGTTCCGGTGTGTTGGAACCAAAATATGCAGGACACCGACCCTCCAGGACCGAGTTTGGGCACCCCTGATTTATAAAGTATGTACGCACAACTCAAACCATCGAAGCATGAAAAATATATAGCTTACACTAGGGCTGCATGATATTGGAAAAAACTGCCATTGCAGTATTTAATTTTCTGCAATACATATTGCAATATTGAGTATAACTCTAGCTCATTAAATGAATAGCTATTGGAAATAATTAATAACGTTAGGTATTCCAGTGATGGGTTATGGCTGGAAGGGCATCCAATGCGTAAAACATATGCTGGATAAGTTGGTAGTTCATTCCGCTGTGGTGACCCCAGATTAATAATGGGAATAAGTCTAAGGGAAAATGAATGAATAAATTGTAAATTTGGGATTATTTTGCATGATAATAAGATGGTTTTGTAATAGAGTCCATCTGCATAAAGTGTAATAAATCAAATCACAATCAGCGGTAAATACAGTAAAGCAAAGTTACAAAATAAATAAATGCTTTGTGTTTTTTTTTCTGGGAGTCTAACTGTATTTAGGTAGACAGGTTAAATAATTAAAAGTAAAGTAAATAACACTGTATAATCTGCACATGAATACATCTTTCTTGAAGTTACAAACTTTAAACTTTAAAAGTTACTGAATGCTTAAAACTGGTTTAAATGCCTTAAAACACAAATGACACAATTTTTGGTGACTTTATGGTTAAACTTTGCATGTACTCATTTATTAATCATTTGTGTTTTAACTCCTACTCATCTATAATCCTGATTCGACATTCCAGACCATCCGGTGCGACTATTGCAGATGTGCACATTGCCATATCAATGCTGAAACAATATATTGTGCAGCCATACACTGTAAAACCCAACAGTCAACTTAATCAAATGAAATAAGTGTAGTTAACTCAAAATTGACTGAAAATTAAATCTACTCATTTGAATTTGAGTTTTGAACTCTAGAAATGATCTCTACCATTAATTTTACTAACAATGCTTTTGATAAACGCAGCCATGGGATGTTTTTGAGCTATCATAAATTATAAAATGTTTTATGACAATTAAGAATGAATCAAATATCAGACATGAAATGAGAGCACAGCCTTCAACCCAAGTCATTTGTCTGTGTTTTCTCTAGCTGGTGCTTCCAGAATACTCCATCCATGTCCTCTTCTGTATCATGTTCCTGTGTGCTCAGGAGTGGCTGACCGTAGGCCTCAATATCCCTCTGCTCTTCTACAACACATGGAGGTGAGCACCTGAACCAGCCTATTTATTCCTATTCAAAAAACTATAATGCACTCACTGTGTGCTTACTGTTAAATAAGTATCCTGACAAATCACATCTTTAGGGCTGATAACATGGGCAACATTTATATCCTGATTTAGTTCACTCAACAATTAAAATTTGGAGTAACACTTTAGTTAACCACTTACACGATTTATTACCAGCCTATTATTAAGATATTCTCTTTTTTGTTAGCACATATAAAGTATGATCTTGTTTCACATCCCTAATTCTACTCAATACCTAAACTCAACTACTACCTTACTAACTATTAAAACACAGCTAATTAGTAGTTTATTGAGCTAAAAGACTTAGTTTGGCGATGCAGTGGCACAGTAAGTAGTGTTGTCGCCTTACAGCAAGAAGTTCGCTTGTTCGAGCCTCGGCTGGGTCAGTTGACGAATCTGTGTGGAGTGTGCATGTTCTCCCTGCATTTGTGTGGGTTTCCTCCGGATGCTCCGGGTTTCCCCACAGTCCAAAGACATGCGGTACAGGTAAATTGGGTATAATCTAAATTGTCCATAGTGCATGTATGTGTGCGAATGAGTGTGTATGGGTTTCCCAGTGATGGGTTGGCAACCCCAGATTAATAAAGGGGCTATCCGAAAAGAAAATTAATGAATGAATGAAAGATAGTTTATGGTTTGTTAGTGTGAATTGCACATTAAAATAAAGGGTGACCAAATTATGTTATAATTTACTCACCCTTGACTTGTTCCAAATCAGTTTGAGTACATTTGTTCTGTGGAACACAAAAGAAGATATTTTGAAGAATGTTGGAAACCTGTAACCATTGACCATTGTATAAGAAAAGTAAATGGTTACTGGTTTCCGGTTATATTGTATTAACAATTATTTCATATGTCAATGAACCAAATCAAAAATTGATTTAATATACCTCTATTAAATTGAATTCCCTGTAAATATTAAATTGACGCATGAGCAGTGAGCTGTGGATACTAGTGAGTTTTATTTCAATCAAAGGCTGCAAAACGTTGAAACCTTTAATATTCATTATTTGTCATGCTAAATGATCTACACAATAAAATACTCAATATTTACATATGAATCCATCATTTTATAAGAGAATTGTAGCATCAGTATTCAAGGGATCCGTATTTCAGATCAACGACACTCCTAATGTATTCTCCTTGCCAGTAAATGAAGTGTCTTTTTGTCCGAATCTTGTCAATGCGCAGTAGTCTTTTTCATTTTTGCAGATGAAAAAATACCAGACTGAATGTTTCATCACACAGTTAAACAACTGGGAAATCATAAGTTCGATAAAATGAGTTTCAGTCACTTTACAGTGGAGCTCTAAATCTTTCCTCAGGTTTTGATACTGAATGTTGTTCTCAATTACTGCCACAGAATATGAGAGATTGCTCTGCTGTGATTTTTCTGCGGAATGATGACATACTGAACTTAATCAGTAAGATAGTAATGTGGATTTGGATTATTGATGTGATTAGCTGGATGAGTTCACCATCAGTCATTTTCCTTGCAAGATTTATTGCTTTTTGCTTGCAATAAATCCACCTCTTTTTTCTTGCGGATCCAATGAAGCTGCTATCCAGCACTCTGTCACTTCATTTCTTCCACATTTTTTCTCCAAATGTACTTTAATGCTTCGGTTCCTTGTTTCTGATTTCCCTAATACAATTATTGTATCAGGGGGGCCGTGTTTTATAATTGCAGATTATATTTAAGTCACCCATCTCTAAGGAGTGCCTAGATTGATAAAAATACTCAGAATAAAGAGGCTTACACAAAAAGAAATTAAATTAAATTAAATTAAGAAATTGAGCATTTCTTAAAAGATGAAAAATAAACTTATAGGATAAGGATAATTAAGGATATGATATTTGTCTGAGATAACTTTCTGGAATTCTGAAATCTCAGGGTTCAAAATAATACTGAGAAAATCGCCTTTTAAGTTGTCAAAAAAAGTTCTTATCAAAAGACATTGCTAATAAAAATGTATATTTATAATCTTATTTAATAAATTAATAAATTAATAATAATTAATAATAAATTATAATCTAGAACAAAATTACGTTGCACCAGACCCCCCCCCCAAAAAAAATAACATAAAAAACAACTTAGATTATAAAAACCAAACATAATAAATAAGCTTTTATCATTTCATAAATATATAAAAATATAGTTATAAAATATAACCCAATTTTTTTTATCATAGAAGGGAAAACATAATACTTGAATAACTATTGCACAGTTTGTTATCATAGTTATAATATTAACTATTTGTGCTAGTTTAACTATTGTTGGGAAAAGAGAAAATATTTTTTATTATTTTTGTCTCTTTTTCTTTCATTAAACAATTATTTGTATTGGTTATTTAAGGGTCCTAAATTAACTGCTTTTATTGTTGTGCAGAACATTCGTATTAAAAGAGAACTTAAGTCTGGGGTGTGGCCAATGGAGGACTGGAGAATTATTGATATTGACTCCACCTGTTAATATCAGTTGCCTATGAAAGTTGTTGCGCACCTCCTGAATGTAACTTTGGCATTGCATTGAGGATAACAAAATTCTGTGAATCAAATTATTCATTTGTATCCAATAAATTGCTCATATGTTAAACTTAAGAAAAACCTCTTCTGACCTTTTATATTGAACATGGAATTGATTCAAAATATCCCAACACAATGTAATGATTTATTATTACATACTAGCTTTCGGTAGTATTTAAGATATAGTATTATTCAAAAGTCTTATAATAACAGGATAAAAACTATTACAAAGCCTGCACTGATTTGCTCCTCAGGTTTCTGTAACTGATGGCATGAGCAGACTATGGCCAGGGTAGGTTGGTTCCCTTAAAATGTTATTTGCCCTGGACAGACAACGTTGTTGATACAGTTCCTGATAGGTGTTATTTTGATTCCAACGGACCTTTCAGCTGAATTTATTATCTTCTTAATAATGTTCTTGTCACATACACTGCTATTCTAATACCAATAGGAGATGCCATTAGTGAGAACATTCAACAGCTCCTATGTAAAAAGTTGTAAGGCATATAAGCTCTTTTTAACCTTCTCAGAAAGTGCAGTCGCTGGTGCGCTTTCTTTGAAAGACAAGGAATTTCTGTGTGGAGTTTGCATGTTCTTCTCATGTTCATGTAGCTTCCTTCGGGTGCTCCGGTTTCCCACACAAGTCCAAAAATAGGTATAGGTGAATTGGATAAGCTAAATTGTCTGTAGTGTATGTGTATATATTTGCATGTATGGGTGTTTCCCAGTGATGGGTTGTATGCTGGATAAGTTGACGGTTCATTCTGCTGTGGCAACCCCTGAATAATAAAGAGACTAAGCCGAAACGAAAATGAATGAATGGATGATTTAATGATTATTTAAGGTAGGAATCTTCATAGAACATGATCTTCACTTTATACCCTAATAATTTTTGGCATAAAAAGAAAAATCAATGCTTTTTCGATACATTTGTTGAGATGGTTTTGTAGTCCAGGGTCCCAAATGCAAATGGGCACCTTTGATTTAAACATTAAATCAAAGGTGCACATATTGTTTCAAGACGCACTACCCGCCTTGTGTTTTTTCCCATTTTGCGGCAGGTACTTCCATAGCCCAACAGACACTAAAGAGCTTCTCTACGATCCAGCGTCTGTCATGAACGGAGACACGCTAAAATTCTGCCAAAAAGAAGCCTGGTGCAAGATGTCCTTCTTCGTCCTCTCGTTCTTCTACTATCTCTACTGGTGAGTAGATGTGCAGCAGTTGTCTCAACCATCAGGACTCTGTGCAGCTTGTTGATTGATTTTTATATCTTTGCAGCCTAATATGCTTCTTAGTGTGTGCCTTTGCTACAATATAAGCTATACCTGAAGCCTATGGCATAGCAGAGATGTATACTTAAACAAGCATTTGAACTGACAAGGACTCTGTGCTCTTGGATGGCGCCAGCAACATGCCTTTGGGTAGAATTCCTGATTCTTCTTTCCTCTACATTATATCATGTCACTTTAAATGTTAATATACACATAAAACACACATATTCTAAAAGCTCACCCTTACAGCAAACAGACCTTATGACCTTTTGTCAAATCTAAGACAAATGTTGTGTATCAGCCACATTTTGCATTATTTAATACTCTTTGCTTCTGGAATTGAAATTTAGTCATTTAGCTCCCTTTTTTCTAGTGTCTTCTGGAACTTGGTGCTTTTCTTCCCAACAGTTATGCAATCTCCTCTAACTGCTTGCTTTTCACTGCTGTTCTCTTAAAGCGAAGTTCAACAGAACCTAAACCTAATCGACAACATTTCTCATTTTAGGAAAGTAGGGGTTAAATGGACCCTAAATGTTAAAGTATACCACAAGTATAGCTACACTATTTCATATCATAATAAAGTGCTCATTAACTTTGGCAAAAAAACACCTGCTCTCCAAAGGGTGCTAATCAATGACACACAGGTCGAGGTTGTGGAGGAATATAGGTACCTAGGAACAATCATTGACAACAGTTTAAAAATTTGATCAAAACACACATACAATTGTTAATTGGGCTCATTAAAGGCTGTCTTGATTGCGGAAACTCAACTCATTTAATGTACAGAAAGTTATCCTTAAGAACTTTTACAAGTCATTAATTGAAAGCATTTTGTCTTTTTCTTCATTTGCTGGATTTCTTCACTGTCTATAAAAAACAAGAATTGTCTTTATCGTTAATTTGTGCTCAAAAAATTAGGAGTTCTCCTGCGAAGTCTTGCGTAATATTACAAACAGCATGTATTTAGGATGGCACATAAAATGACAGCACACCCCCTTTAAAAAAACATTTTGAGTGGATGCTCCTTGGTCAACGTCTAAGGACAACAAGATGTTCCACAAATCGTTCTAAATTTACTTTTGTGCCTGAAGCAGTTAGGTTACCTAATAAATGAAGTTAATCGATGGATGATTATTATTAGTTTTTTTTTTTTTTTGTACCTGATGTTAAGTGATGAGGTTTATTGTGTTAAGTGTGTCAATCTGGTTATATCTAAAGCACCACTATGTCAAAATGAATTATCCCAAGGGGATTAATAAAGTTTTAAACTAAACTAATAATGTAATATAAAGCATTAATCAATATGCAACATAATATGATCTAGTCGGACATTAATATTATACATTCTCAGAAATAAAGGTACAGGAGCTGTCACTGCGGCAGTACTTTTTCAAAAGAAACATATTTGTTCCTGAAGAGTTCATAATGGTACCTCAAATGTACTTGATGGGTACATTTGGGCATAAAAATCCACCTTGTATAAACATATATCTTGACAGCTCCTGCACCTTTATTTCTGAGAGTGTAAATTCACTGGCCTTGTTTAAAAAGGATTATTAATTATTATGCTATTATTACTTCATCACACTTAAGACCTTTGTTTATCTTCAGAAGACAAATTAAGATATTTTTGACTCTTCTAAAGCTTATAAATACTGTAATTTGTTTGCAGATATTTAAGAAACATGCCAAGTGAACATTCTTGTTTATCTGAAAAACAATGCTGAAGTCAGATATTCTGCTTTGAAAATGTGAGTTACGTGCCGGAACGCTGTCTTTGTTTGGTTCTTTTAACCTGCCCACTGCCAGTTTAGCCAATTATATTTCAGCACCACGGGTTGTCTTGACGGAAAACCAGCTATTTCATATATACATTAATTAATTCATTTAGAAAGGCTCTGGAATTGAAATTCAGTCATTTAGCCCACTTTTTTCTTCTGGAACTTTGTGCTGTCATTCCTAGCAGTTATGCAATCTCCTCTATTTACTAGCTTTTTACTGCTGTTTTTGTTTAAAAAGGATTATTAATTATTATACCGTTATTAGTTAATCACACTCTGAGACCTTTGTTTATCTTCGGAAGACAAATTAAGATATTTTAGATTAAAGGTGCTGTGTGTAAGTTTTTGACTCTTCTAAATCATAAAAATACCATAATATGTTGCAGATATTTAAAAAAAACATGCCAAGTGAGCATTCTTGTTTATATGAAAAACAATGCTAAAGTCAGATATTCTGCTTTGAAAATGTCTGTTACCTGCCGAACGCTGTCTTTGATTCTGTTCTTTTTACCCGCCCACTGCCACTTTAATCAATTATAGTTCAGCACTCCGGGTTGTCTTCATGGAAAAGTACCTATTTCATTCAGAAAGGCTCTCAAAGCATGCGTCTGTGACTGAAATGCAACATGAGGTGGTTATTAATTAGCAAATAATATAAATATTACGAACGTAAACATTAGGTAAGCATGTTACATTGGAGCCCCGTGTCCTAACAATACGCTACTGTGACAACATTTGCAGTAATAAGCAATTTGGCTGTTTGCACCAGACGAAACACGACAGAAATTTAAATAGAGCCACTCATAATATGCACTTACTTACGAAATGGTAAGGTTTATAATCTAATTAATACATATTAAATATGTTTAACATTATGAAATGTACATGCTGAATCACTGGTGTTGGTTTTGAGTCCCTTTGAGTTTCATTTCAAGATCTGAGGTGAAATGCTGAAGGCATTATTTTAAATATGAAATGTTTTTGTTTCACATGCCTCTGGTCATGTACGTAAAAATCTGTGTACAATCTCTTGTAGACAGGGGTTTCTCTTTTACACATTTCCTGACAATTCCTTTACACATTGGCAATAAAAAAGCAATTAATACAGCTGTTATACAGCACTTGTAAAAGCAGTAAAACTAAATGTCTTAATTGGACTGACCCTGATTTGATATATGAGCTCAATTTGTCCGCTTTACCTACTTTAACCCCTGCGGCTTGATTTTCAAAGCACTCTAACTGTTTGTAATAACCACAACGTTGTGCTCCCTTTTATGAATCAATCTTACAAATCAATTGCAAATCCAATATCTGCACACCAGGCCATCACCCATCCAATTACATCCGTTCACTTTTTCTAAACCCCATTTAAACCTAATGACTCAAGAAAGGAGCGTGCCACTTTGATAGAAGTGAAAGAAAGAGATTTGAGCGAACAGACTAGTTCTCGTGTGTTTACAACGACCGCAAAGGCATGAGGAGCACTGCTCGCCTCGGGCTCCATCAGGATCATATCTATGATTATAGCTGAAATACAGCTTTCATTGATCTTACACTTTCAGCACGAACACTGATAAGCCGCGGTTCTCTATCTTTGTGTTTGAGACGAACCTTGAGATGTGCACTGAATAAAATAATATTTTCCAGTTAGGTTCAATGTATATATCCTTCCCATGCAGCAGTGATATCACTTAAAAGGACATAAATAAATAAAAAAAAGATTGAAAATATAAAGAAAAACCCATGCTGCTACTTTTGCAACCCCCTCACGCTGAAGATAAAGACACAGCGAGCCCAGAAATGCTTATGCAGTTTTTATCAGGGCAACCCCTTATTATGTATTAATGCCCATGAACAGCATTCTGGCATGACATCAATGGCCCCTAGTGTGAAGTCAGCACAGAAATTCGCCATACATCAACATATGGCAGTGCATTCTAAATAAATGCAATACATATCATACTGAACCAGCCCGGAGTGATGCTGGAGCTGGAGCAGCTGTCATTTTCCACAGTGTCAGCTGCTTTTGAAGCCTCTATCATCTTGCATATCTATGCCTCCTCCAGATGTGAATGAATACAGGGGTTTCAGCTGGGTAAATTGAGGAGAAGATGTGTATCTGTGTTTGTTGTTAACTAGGAAGAAATGAACTAATTAAAGCAGTTTCCTGACAGAATGATAAAACCCTCGGGTACACACTCATTTCACAGAAGTTAAAGCATAAAGGGAGAAATTCCTATTTTTCAACAATTACATAGGATGAGAGGTGTTTGGGATAAAGTTAACCCTTGACTTCTGTTGAAAAGGCAATTGCACATTTGATGTTTCCAGATAAAAATGACAAGCCTTTTAAATAATAGTTTGTAAATTGCTTTACACGCTGCATCATGACCATTTATTTATTTATTTATTTATTTATTTATTTATTTATTTATTTATTTATAATTTTTAAACAGGAAAAGATTAAAAGATAATCGGGCCTGACTCAGCATGAATGCAGTTTTTCAGCAGAATCCTGCTCTGCAGAACATAAAAACAGACAGACATCTCATCCATCAACACAGTACAAACAATCACCAAACATATAAAATAGAGAAAAGCAGGCTACTATCTCAGTGGCCACAGTGATAGTTGAGCCGAGGTTCGAACCAGCGACCCAGCAACCTTCTTGCTGTGAGGCGACAGCACTACCTACTGCACCACTGCCTCGCCTCAAGTCCAAAATATCTGTACTAAAAGGCGCATAAATCATGTTGCCCTTGTGAAAATTAACAAAGGCTTTAATATAGTAAAAAAGAAATAAGTAAATAATACAAAAATATTTATTACCATACTAAAATCACAGAAATAAAAGTTTAAAAATAGCTGTCGCTGGGACAGTTAAAAAGTGCTAACAATCACAATCACCAGTGATCTGGCATTTGCAGATCGCTAGAGAACTACAAATCTGCCACTATAATGAACTACACATCCCATCGTGCTCTTTACTCACACACCTGGCCCAGGTTCCCCTTTGACTGCTAACACACACAGCTGAAGCTGTTCAGGACTAATCAGATGGATTATAAACAAAGCACACATATATCATTGCTGAGTCTTGTCAAACTGTAAGTGAGCATCACAAAGTGTTTCCTTGTCTTGCCGTGTTTTTGACCTTTGCTTTGTTTTTTTTCTGTTTACGTTGTTTTGCCGCCTGTCCCGACCATTCACTAGTGGTAGGCAAAGCAAGGCTTCGTGTTACACTAAAACAGTTGAAGCAAATTGAGGTATTAAATCCCACAATGTAGAGCTGAGGTTTCAAGTGATTCCGTGAAGCAGTGAGAGTTCCTGACTAACATGAAGAGAAAATGGGATGTAATCAAGGGTGATGCATCTATAGATGTTAGTTTTTAAATGCTCTGTACTTATAATGTGTTTTGTGTTACCATTGGTCTGACATCCGAATGAACACTTTGTGAATAAATATATCTTGTTTTGGTCAACTAAAAAAATAACATGATTAAAATACATCAAGTCATAATTTCAGAGTATTTGTACATTGTAAGTCGAAGAGGGCAGCACGGTGGCTCAGTGGTTAGCACTATCGTCTTAAAGCAGAAAAACTTCACAGAATGTGAAATGGAGGTGCTCCTATTGGAGTTAGACTGGAGAAAAACTGTTATTTGCAAGATTGTCCTCTGGAATTAATAACAAAAGAAAAGAAAAAAATAGGGTGGCAGAGTTTAGCTGATGTGGTTAACGCAGTGGGGTCTTAACATCGCACTGTGAATGAATTAAAAAAGAAATTGTCCAATGTAAAGGTGTAGGTTAAGAGGAGAACAGGGTTGGAGAGCAGGGGATGCTGAACTAACACCCTTTGAGGAGAGAGTTTACTCTTTACTGGTGACACTTTACTGTCTGGAGTAGTATCTGTGTCTGTGGTAAATACAGATGTATTTAAGGAACACTTTGTTAGAGCAGAATAGCAGCACCCCTCCGCTCTTATCAAGGCAGCGCCACCGACATTTCAGCTGCCCAATCGCCCGCTCTACAACTGGCCAACACTGCACTGCCATAGACTAAGGGTTGTAAACATTTATGTTCTAAAAAAAAAAAAATATATATATATATATATATATATTAGTCAATTAACCCATTTTATAAATTAATAGCAATGTTTTCCACTTGTTTTAATGGGATACTTTGTAGTGTGCAATTTAACATAATTGCTTCTAGGAGTCGCCAATGGAAATAAAACAAACACACACAAAAAATAAACGTACACCAGACATGAAGTTGGCATGGACAACACACATTCTCATGTTAATTTCATCGTTAGTAAATCCAAACGGGAGCTTGAAACCTGGTGTACGCAAAGTTTTTGTGTGTACGCAGCATTGATACATGAGGCCCCTGGTGTTTTGAAACACTTTAGTCATGTGACCTGGATTTTTCTAATCATGCTTCAGTGCAGTTCTCTTAAACACTTTCGCTTCGCAATCTAGACATTAAATCTAGAATTGGATTATCTACATGCTCCTGTTTGCCCCTGTTGACCGTTGCCTGTCTGACGAATCTTATCATAAACTGCATTTGGATCCTCTACTCCATTGGTCCCTGACTCCTTACAATAAAATGTACTCTTTAAGTAATGTACCTTTAGAAATGGTACCACCCTAGTGACAGCTTTTGTACCTTTATTTCTGAAAGCACATGGTTAAATTATGGTTAATTTGTTATTAACTTGATTCAACTACAAAAAAAAAAAAAACAATATATATATATATATATATATATATATATATATATATATATATATATATATATATATATATATATATATATATATATATATATATATATATATATATATATATATATATATATATATATATATATATATATATATATATTACAGTATTTGTATTAAAACCATGATTCATTTTGTTAGGGTATGCCATATATGGACTTAAACCTGTTTTACTAGGACTGGTTTTTGCAAGTTGTTAGTGACTTATAACATTAACTATTAAAAATTGAAGGGAAAAGGGTCTATCACTTCTTTCAGATTTAACTCAACACTACTATTTTTTATGAAAACTGTCAGTAAAGCCTGTTTGTTTGTCTTGCAGTATGATCTACACCTTGGTGACCTCATAACAGAGCTCTCAACACTGAAGAAGACACGCGTCAGACACTGTTTTCGGAAAGCTCCTGCATTTGGACATTTTGACGAAACAAGAGCAGCACCAGACACAAGTTCAACACGCTGCAGTGCAAGACTTGACCCCACATTCCCAGAGTATCAGAAGAAGTATCAGTGTTGTTTACAGATCTGACTCAACTCCCTAAATGTCTCATAGACCCGGTGTGATGCGCTTTTCACAAGCTCACAGTAACGTTTGCACAGATTGTCTCAGGCATAGCACAACATGTCCTTTACCACTTTGAGGCGCAAAACCTGCCAACCTTTACACTCACTATAAATATATGTAGCTTAAAATATAACGTCGGATCAAAAAAAGAAGTGAAAAGAAACGTTGACAAAGTTGATCAGCGAATGTCACATTTTTACCAGTCACACACTAGGCCACTGAGTTTTGATTACATGTGTGAGAAGCTTTTGTGATATTTTCTGTGTATTTGTGCAATCCTAACATAAGCGTTTTTAATATGAACTGCGTATCTGTGTACATAGAGAACTTTTTGTGTAATGCTTTAATGTGTTGGTGTCAGTGGGTTGAGATGTTTTTTGGACTTTATATTTACAAAATGCTGATATGGAGGCTTTATTGTAGAAAACAAGAGCCACTTTTCCACAATTTTGCACAAAGTTGTTATGAGTTTGCACAATAGATACAGTTATTGGTCGTGGTGGAAAAACAAGTCATATTTATATACCCGGTACGAGTCTTCCAATATATTACAGTGTATTCAATTATCATACGTTTTCATTCTAGGGAAGAAATTAAAACCACAACTCATGATCTACAAGTTTCACTTTCTCATTTTGTATCGTTGTTATTAGAATAACTATATTACTGTTATACAGCAAGGTCAGCAATACTGAAACTATATATTTAGGGATACTTTTTTCTTTCTTTCTTTCTTTCTGTCTATCTTCAAAAAATCTCTATCCATCCATCCACCCACCCACCCATCCATCCATCCATCCATCCATCCATCCATCCATCCATCCATCCATCCATCCATCCATCCATCCATCCATCCATCCATCCATCCATCCATCTATCTATCTATCTATCTATCTATCTTAATTTTTGATCAAATAAAATCTCAATCTATCCATGGAATGTAATTTTTGCTAGAAAATCTATAGCCATCCATCCATCTCTCAATCTCTCTGTCTATCTATCTGTCTATCTGTCTCTCGTCTTCATTTTTGCTAAAAAAAAATCTCCATCCATCCAAATTAATTTTTGCTAAAACAATCTATCCATTCATCTACAAGTATCAACTTAATTATTGCTTGAAAATCTGTATCCATCGATCCATTCATCTCTCAATCTCTGTCTATTTCTCAGTCTATCTATATCCATTCATCTACAGGTATCCATCTCTATCTATCCATCCATCCATCCATCCATCCATCCATCCATCCATCCATCCATCCATCCATCCATCCATCCATCCATCCATCCATCTATCTATCTATCTATCTATCTATCTATCTATCTATCTATCTATCTATCTATCTATCTATCTATCTATCTATCTATCTATCTATCTATCTATCTATCTATCTATCTATTTTTGCTTTAAAAAAACAACTTTAAACACACTGCTACAAATTCATCAGTATTTATATGTCTTTCTTTAAACTGATGTTGGATCAGTCAGGCTAACTATCCGGAGTAACCACATGATGCACATAAGCATAAACCCCTCAAGACATCTACGTTACGCTTTGGTTGAGCACCATATATAATGCAGAGTACTGAAAATAGCAGTAGACACACTACATCAACTTCATCGGCGTGTAGGGGATAATAATACCGGTCCCCAGCAGTACTATAGTCTGCTGCTGTCATGTAGCCTGCTGTCTTTTGTATGCCTTATGTAGTTACACACATGATGACCAAACATTTTCTACAGTATACAGTATCATCATTGTGGACGTGTTCCCCTCTCCTAATATAATTTAAAACATTTGTATATGAAATAAAGCAGATTATTTTAAAACTGTTATAGGTGCTTTCTTAAGCTTGCATGTGGCATATGTATGCTTATTTTTAATGGGATATTTAATTGGGATCTTTTACTCACCATCCACTTCTTAAAAACCTGTTTGTGTTTCTTTCTCCTGTTGAACACAAAGGAAGATATACTGATTAAGTAGCTATGATTTATAAAGTATATTTTGTTCCTATTATGTATGTCAATGGCTACTAGTTTCCAACATTTTTATAAAATTTTACATTGTGTATATCATAAAGAAGTTCACACAGGTTTAGAACCAGTTGGGTGTGAGTAAATGGTACAGTATGGAAATTTTAATTTCTGGCTGAACTATCCCTCTAAATATCTTTAACATTTTCTAATTATACTATAAATACCCACTATGTTAAGACTCACAGTTTCCAAGGGGTAGGCATGGATTTTGTCAATATTGATATACTTCTAATACAGCTCATTGATACCAGTTTTTTAGATAGTGCTATCAATTCCAATTTCGTTAATAACTTTTTGCAAAAAGATGTGAAAATATGTTAAAGAATTTAAGTTATTTTAGTACTGTTAAGCAGTTTCCAAATACCTACTGTACAAGCAAAGCTAAGGTATGTGCATGAAGTACAGAGACATGCTGTAAATAACTAAATAGGGCACATGGCTTGAGTTGGATGGAATGTTTTGATAGGGAATGTTTTATTAGACTACTAATTTTGCCACATTTGTTTACTATTACACTACTGCATATTTTCAAAGACTATAGAATACACAAGACATGTCACTCATATAGTTTTGAATGGGGAAAAGGGTCCAACTTTATATCACGTCGCTTAAACCTGTGAACTTACATGGTAACTAGATGTGTAAGTAATATGTAACTACAGTAGATGTACGCATTGGTACATAGTATTTACTTGTGTGATACTGGTGTAACTACACGCATGTAACAACACTGAATAATATGTGTAAGTTCAAATGTGTAACAGGACATTGCAGAAGAGCAATGTACATTGCAATAGGACATTGTTAAATCAATTTGTGTCATTTCTCAGCACTACTGGTATTTGGACATTGCGTTTTGCAGATAGAGAATGCAAACTGCTGAGTTATTTGCTATTTTCTGATAAACGGTCATCTCGAAGTTTGTTCCATCGAATTAAGCACAAATAAGACAAAAAAGTAAATTTTGTGTATTTAAAGAAGCAGTCAATCATGAATTGTACAAAAAAATAGGCTATAGCCTTACTTAAAATTTAAATAGCCTGTTAAAAATTGATATAAATGAAAGATAAATAACTTTTTTTATGAAACCAAGAGAGAATATTGCGAGAGTCACAGTATAGTGGCCACATCTGTATAATGCAAGTGTGTGATTCAGAGACAGGACATCAAAAACTGGGTTGTATGGTCATCCTAATTTAAAACCGAATAAACTTCTGAAAAAAAACAAAAGCTCAAATCAGTGCAGTGTACGCAACCAAACAGAGCAAGCTGTTATTTATTCACAAAAGAAAAGACAGGGACTGAGGACATCTTATTCAATCAAAACATTTTTCTACTTCCACTGTGTTGTTTCCTTTTTTTCTCATGTAAATGAGTTGCCAAACTGACGTGTTTAACCATTGAATTAGTGTTTTTTGCAGTCTTATGCATGACACGCCATTCTAAAAACAGGCCACTCAAGTTGAAGTAGTTGGACTTTTTCACATCTCAAGGCCTCATGAACTGAATGTATTTCAAAGCAAAACACACTGGCTGTATCTAAAATCATCCCTATACCCTTAAATAGTGCACAAAGTTATATTTACAACCACAAACCAGAAAAAGTGGGGACAGTTTGGAAAACACAAATGAAAAAAAGAAAGAAGTGATTTCTTAATTTACTTTAAGTTTTTATGTGCTTCCATGATAAAGTGTTTCAGGTGTAATTTTGTACCATTTTTCTGCAAATCAAGTCTAAAGGTGGGCAACAACCAAGGCCTTCGATGTTTTGCTCTTCAAAATGCACAACACATTCTTTATTGGAGACAGGTCAGGACTAAAGACAGGCCAGTCAAATACCTGTACCCTCTTCCTCCACAGCCAGGTCTTTGTAATGTGTGTAGAATGTTAACCTGATTACTAGCCATAAATTGCCCCCAAACTTTCCCAACTTTTTAAAAATGTGTCACAGATCTAAATAACAGAAAAGGATGTATATTTACAAAACAATTGAAGTTAATGAGACAAAACATGAAATATTTTGTGTTCATATTGTCTGCAATGAAATACAAGTCAAAGTAAATTTGGAAATCACTGCTTTCCTTTTTTTTTTATTTGGGTTTTCCATGCTGTCCTAACTTTTTCTGATTTGGGGTTGTATTAAATATAAACATAGTAAACCTGCAGTTATATTGTATATAGGTATACAATACGTTCAATTTATTGTTCTATTATTTTACAACTTCAGTGTACTGTATGTGACCTATAAGAGAGCTAAAGGCATTGTTTTGTCACTCCAAACTCATATTAATTTCTTCAGTCATGCATGTTCATAAACCATATGTGGTTATTTCACTCAATTACCCACAAAGCATTTCTCACATCTCCTCATTCGATTCCTCACCCCGGAGTGATTCTGGAAAAAACCATCCACCTCTGCCTGACGTGTGTCCCCATCTCTCCTCTTCAGGGGACGCTGCCTCCCGCTTGTAAGTCGACTATTATCTGCGATTTTTGGGCACCAGGCCCTGTGTGGCAGTGACTGGCTGACAGATCGGTGACAGGCTGTCCTCCTGCTCCACCTGCTATCCGTCCAAATCATTGCCACATGCTCCGTAATTACAGTTTGTTAAGGATGCGGCTCCCTTTGCCAACTATCTAACACTTTGCCACTTATAGCTGTGAAATGAACGTCATCAGATGTCTGCAAGTCCTGGCACGGCAAGAGCATTCTGTCACCCTTTCGACACCAAATTCTGACCCTGGTCAGTGTGCTGTACAGCAGATAAGGAATGAATTTTGGCCGCAGCTTTAAAGTCTCTATGAAACCAAAATGTCTCTTTGTTTTTTTTCATGTCAGCATTAATATGCTAGTCTTAAAAGGTCACGGCACATTAAAACACATTTTTTTGACACACATATATGTGCCAAATTGCAAAAAAAAAATTTAAAAAAACTTCTAGGACACATATATATTTTGCTTAAAAAATGAAAACCTGTTGTTTTGGATTTTGAGGAACAAATTCATTCACATTCGGTAACAGCGATAGGATCATTGTATAAAATTCCAGTGTAGTGATTGGCTGACTGCACTGGCCAGTACAAAGTGACGTCATTGAGTTTTTAGTATGTCACTGCATTATTCATGAGGAAGAGTTGGTTTGAATCAATCAGTATGCTCTATTATGAATAAGATACAACTTTATTAATATGCATGAGAGAGCGTCATCGCTTTTTAGCTGATAGAAAGAAGCATGGTGCAAATGGTATTAAAAAGCACAACTAAATTCAATAGATTGTTCAGAGACATGGGTCATCAGAGTTCCGTTTTAAAGTGTGCCACAACAAAAGTGTTGTTTCCGTTTCCCAGCGGTCTGCTAACACATGAGGTAAGTTTTTTTTTTTTTTTAAGAAAAATGGATTTGCCACATGGCAAGACGTGGTTCCAGTTTGTGTTGATTTTCATATATCTATAAATTTGGTAAGTGCATGATAATTGCTCTTTAGGTTTATTAAGATGGCAAAGTTCATAAGCAGTACTCTTTCAGTTTTTGAAGACATACCTTAGTCAAATAGAGTCAAGTTACTAAGTT